TGGAGGGTTATTAAGACCTATCAACCTCTGGAGGGTTATTAAGACCTATCAACCTCTGGAGGGTTATTAAGACCTATCAACCTCTGGAGGGTTATTAAGACCTATCAACCTCTGGAGGGTTATTAAGACCTATCAACCTCTGGAGGGTTATTAAGACCTATCAACCTCTCGAAGACTTTGAAGGCCAACTCCCTCCTCTGGAAGAACATTTATGTAAAGAAGCAGAATGGGCCTCACAGCGTACATATTGTCTCTGTGGACATGTTAGTTGTGATATATCACATTGTGATATATAGCGAGTGTGGGAGGGGGGCGGCGCTCCCTCTAAGGCTGTGTTAGTATTCAGGTCGTTCGCTCGTTCTGAAAACTTTGAAGATTTTGTTTGTGGTGGGAAAGTTTACTTTATATCTTCATGTGGCAACATGAAAACTTGAAAAAAATTAACAAAATTTTTCCTGTTTAACAATTTTTTGTTTCTCATTAACTTTAACACTTTACATGGTAACAAATCTGTTACCTAGCAGTAAATTAGGTACCTGGGTGTTAGTCAGCTGTCACGGGTTGCTTCCTGGGGGTGGAGGCCTGGTCGAGGACCGGGCCGCGGGGACACTTAAAAAGCCCCGAAATCATCTCAAGATAACCTCAAGATAACATTTATAAAATACAAAATAGAAACTTGCAAAGGAAAGGAAAAAAGTATATAATACTTAAACTTTTCACTTTAGAGAAGAAAGTAGTGTCCTCCAAAAATAGGGAGGTCAATGTAACAGCCCCATAAGTGCAATTATGTACTATGTATGACAGTCAGGAAAAGTACTTATTACACTTAGTATTAAAACGTACTGTCAATTCGGAGGATGGGTTGTGGATTGTTGAGTGCGGTTGTTAATTGACTTCTATATGAAGTAGTGTTCAGGACATAAGTGTTATGAAGCACTCACAAGGGTGAGTGCTTCACTCACCCTTGAAGGGTGAATGATTCACTCAGTGGTTAATGATGGTGGTTTTAGAGAGATATTGCTGCGTTTTAGGGTTCAGGGGCCAGATTCAGGAAGCAGTTACGCAAGCACTTACGAACCTGTACATCTTTTCTCAATCTTTAGCGGCTTTGTTTACAATTATTAAACAGTTAATGAGCTCCGAAGCACCAGGAGGCTGTTTATAACAATAACAACAGTTGATTGGCAAGTTTTCATGCTTGTAAACTGTTTAATAAATGTAACCAAAGCCGTCAAAGATCGAGGAAAGATGTACACGTTCGTAAGTACTTGCGTAACTGCTTCGTGAATCTGACCCCAGAGGTACGTAAGTGCTTGCGTAACTGCTTCGTGAATCTGAATCCCCAGAGGTACGTAAGTGCTTGCGTAACTGCTTCGTGAATCTGGCCCCAGAGGTACGTAAGTGCTTGCGTAACTGCTTCGTGAATCTGGCCCCAGAGGTACGTAAGTGCTTGCGTAACTGCTTCGTGAATCTGGCCCCAGAGGTACGTAAGTGCTTGCGTAACTGCTTCGTGAATCTGTCTGTCCCCTGCTTGAGTAACTGTCTCTTCTCTAGCTCTCTTGTCTCTAGCTCTGTCTCTGTTTTTGTCTGTCTGTCTGTCTGTCTGTCTGTCTGTCTGTCTGTCTGTCTGTCTGTCTGTCTGTCTGTCTCTCTCTCTCTCTCTCTCTCTCTCTCTCATCTTCGTGTTAGCACGCTAATTAGCCATTAGGAGAGAGCAAAATCAACCCCTTAAATTACCCAATCGCCCCCTAGTATCATCATCATGCTGGTGGGCTGAGAATGACTGCTGGAACAACCCAACGAATAATTACCCCCCAAACAAAGCTCTTTTCCTCCACCATTCCTTTCCCAGAGTTTCTTTCACCCTATGCCTCTGTTACCTAGCAGTAAAATAGGTACCTGGGTGTTAGTCAGCTGTCACGGGCTGCTTCTTGGGGGTGGAGGCCTGGTCGAGGACCGGGCCGCGGGGACACTAAAGAGCCCCGAAATCATCTCAAGATAATCTCAAGATAATCTCCTTCCCATTTACAGGTTAGACGAACGCGCCGCGGAACAGACCCGATGGTCAGACGAGGCTGAGATGGGTGCCAGGGCCACGCTGGAGGTGGGCTCCACGCAGGCATTGCTGAGGATCGAACCCTTGGAGGTGGGGGATCGAGGCCTCTACACCTGTAGAGTAGACTTCAGGCTCCAGCCAACTAAGACGACGAGGGTTAACCTTACTCTCATCGGTAAAGTTATTGTGGATGGTTTAACTCTTAGTCTCTATTGTGTCTATCTCTCGATAGATAGATAGATATAAGAGTCAGTAAGATGGGAGCCATTCGTGTTATGGAAGCCCCCACACAGGGCTTTCCTGGATGCTGAATGTTCTCTTCGTCAAGGTTAAGGGTCCTTAAATTACAATCAGAGGCTACATATGTGTAGCCTCTCTCTCTCTCTCTCTCTCTCTACACACACACACACACACATATGTGTGTGTGTGTGATTTCACACACACACACATACATATATATATATATATATATATATATATATATATATATATATATATATATATATATATATATATATATATATATATATATATATATATATATGTGTGTGTGTTCTTGAATAGAACCGGAAAGGTAAGATTAATAATTCTAACACGAATTTTCTCAATATTTCTTATATTTTTCTTCACTGTTGAGGGTAATTGAAATATCAACTCTCCAAAATTCATTTTTATTTTGGGTCTGACGCCTAGACGCGTTTCGTAAGGGCTTCTGACATTCACAAAGACTTATTTTCACTTAACACTTGTAGCATTAAAGTGAAAATACATGTAGTGTCCAGCATTAGGAAGCACTTGCCCTCAAGTCATATTCATGTACAGTTACGAGCAGGGGGAAGGTCGGAGCAGATTGTATTTTGGCTTAAACAGCTAATTCAAATTCGGGTCACAAGGAGCATAAAATAAAATGGTACTTTACTGAGGCGCTCAGCTGCGCCACAAAGGGGGTTACCCAGATGTGGCAAAGTCACGGAGCAGCTGTGTTCCGTAAGAGGGCGGAAGGAGGTTAAGGAACAGTGAGACATCAGCGTTGTGGAACAGTAACAAATGTCGGTATTATGGATAATTGCTGATGTTACCATTAAGCGCCATTAACTAGCTTGAAGCACCATTAACCGCGGGGGGGCAGTATTAAGATCATAAGTTAACATCAACCATTCCACTATAGGCTGGTAGATCACAGGGAGGACCACCACTATGCCTTGCTGTACCAAGACCTCTTAAATGTGTCAAATCACTTTAGTCATCACAAGCTTTTAGGGATTAATCAGATAAAGGGTTCTCAGACTTCAACCTAGACAAGTGCAAGGTAATGGGAACTAAAGATAGCCCCAAGGTGACCAACTGAACAACTCAAGACGAAGGGTGAGAAGTCACCCTGAAACAGCAAAGGTGAAATATCGGATTATCAAGCAATACGACCTCTCCTAGCACCTTTGGGCCGGATCAATATGATAACATAACCAATATGATAACATAACCAAATATATAAACAATATGATAACATATAGACACAAAACACATGACCTCAAATGTGCCAAATCCCATTATTGTAATAGATCAATGAGAAAATCCACTGGAGCTGTAATGCGGCTTCGAACCCATGCATTGAATGTTCCAAGATGTAGTTAAGCACTGACCGTTTAGAGCATGCATCTGGGAACACCCAGTACATAAGTTCGAATCCTCACCACGGCTCCGATTAAGACTGATTTCCAATTTCACTCTATTTTTTTTTTAGCCCTTGCATCATCAACAACGTGAAAGTAGTAAATGTAACTATTTTCCACCCCAGGTGATCCGTCACCACTCCCCCACCCCACCCTCATCATCCTGCAAGATGAGAGGCTTGCTAACCAAACAACTGCTTGTGTGTCAGAGTAATTACTCTGCCTCTGGTTAGCTTTGATGTTCAGGTTAAGGTCTGTCAACCTCTGGAGGGTTATTAAGGTCTGTCAACCTCTGGAGGGTTATTAAGGTCTGTCAACCTCTGGAGGGTTATTAAGGCCTATCAACCTCTGGAGGGTTATTAAGGCCTATCAACCTCTGGAGGGTTATTAAGGCCTATCAACCTCTGGAGGGTTATTAAGGCCTATCAACCTCTGGAGGGTTATTAAGGTCTATCAGCCTCTGGAGGGTTATTAAGGCCTATCAACCTCTGGAGGGTTATTAAGGCCTATCAACCTCTGGAGGGTTATTAAGACCTATCAGCCTCTGGAGGGTTATTAAGGCCTATCAACCTCTGGAGGGTTATTAAGGCCTATCAACCTCTGGAGGGTTATTAAGGCCTATCAACCTCTGGAGGGTTATTAAGACCTATCAACCTCTGGAGGGTTATTAAGGCCTATCAACCTCTGGAGGGTTATTAAGGCCTAGCAACCTCTGGAGGTTTATTAAGGACTATCAACCTCTGGAGGGTTATTAAGGCCTATCAACCTCTGGAGTGTTATTAAGGTCTATCAACCTCTGGAGGGTTATTAAGGCCTATCAACCTCTGGAGGGTTATTAAGGCCTAGCAACCTCTGGAGGGTTATTAAGGCCTATCAACCTCTGGAGGGTTATTAAGACCTACCAACCTCTGGAGGGTTATTAAGGCCTATCAACCTCTGGAGGGTTATTAAGACCTATCAGCCTCTGGAGGGTTATTAAGACCTATCAACCTCTGGAGGGTTATTAAGGCCTATCAACCTCTGGAGGGTCATTAAAACCACCACAACACCTTACTGACCAACCACCAAGTATACTTCACTGCTGAATATATTGTCTAAAGTATACTCTCGGTGTATACACATCAATAATTAAGCTAGCTATACACATCTTGATATATATATATATATCCCCGTTGAAGTCTACCATTGTTATTGAGGACGGGCTGTGATCAACGAGCAATTAACTCGTTGATCACGCCAGGCTGTTAAAAAACGAGGCAGGTGTTTGAGGATTGATGTCTCCCCCCCCCCTTACAGTGCCGCCCTCTGGCGTGAGTGTGGTTGTTAACGAGGCCGTCAATGTGGTGTTTAACGAGGCCGGCTTCGAGTCCTCCCCTACTAACGATCCATCCGGCAGACTTGTGGGTCCCTTCAAGGAGGGAGAGACGATTGTGCTCACCTGCATCGCCCATGGAGGTAAGTACCTCACCCACGGAGGTAGATACCTCACCCACGGAGGTAGATACCTCACCCACTGAGGTAGATACCTCACCCACTGAGGTAGATACCTCACCCACTGAGGTAGATACCTCACCCACGGAGGTAGATACCTCACCCACTGAGGTAGATACCTCACCCACTGAGGTAGATACCTCACTCACTCAGGTAGATGACTCACCCACTGAGGTAGATACCTCACCCACTGAGGTAGGTTCCTGGCATAGAATATCGAGTGATCTCTTCAACAATTAACTGTAATCTCCACATTGTTCAATATTTTTCAGGTAAGTTTTTTATAACTGACTCTTTATATCACTCATGAAAAGTCTCAATCATATTCAAGCTTTTTAACCCTCTTTTCTAAGGCATATTTGGAATTTTATCATTTTGTATATATATATATATATATATATATATATATATATATATATATATATATATATATATATATATAACTGAAATCTCACACCCCAGAAGTGACTCGAACCCATACTCCCAGAAGCAACGCAACTGGTATGTACAAGACGCCTTAATCCACTTGACCATCACGACCGGACAAAATGAGGTGATAGCCGAGGCTATTTGAACCACCCCACCGCCGGCACTCGGATAGTAATCTTGGGCATAGCATTTTACCAAATCACCTCATTCTTTGGGGCACACGTGAGGAACACAAATGATATATATATATATATCACACAAATGATATATATATATATATCATTTGTGTTCCTCACGTGTGCCCCAAAGAATGAGGTGATTTGGTAAAATGCTATGCCCAAGATTACTATCCGAGTGCCGGCGGTGGGGTGGTTCAAATAGCCTCGGCTATCACCTCATTATGTCCGGTCGTGATGGTCAAGTGGATTAAGGCGTCTTGTACATACCAGTTGCGTTGCTTCTGGGAGTATGGGTTCGAGTCACTTCTGGGGTGTGAGTTTTCAGTTGCATATTGTCCTGGGGACCATTCAGGCTTGTTCGCATATATATATATATATATATATATATATATATATATATATATATATATATATATATATATATATATATATATATATATATATATATATATATATATATATATATTTAGGAGTATAATTATCTCTGGTATAATTGTCTCGTTTATATGCTAGCATACCTCGAGAGGAATATATGTGCAGTATACTAGATCCATAACAGCTGAAGTATGCGAGCAGGCAGATACACAGACAAGCAAATTGACAGACAGACAGACAAATTGACAGGCAGATAAACAAGAAATTAACAGGCAGATAAACAACAACTTGACAGGCAGATAATCAACAACTTGACAGGCAGATAATTAACAACTTGACAGGCAGATAATCAACAACTTGACAGGCAGATAATCAACAACTTGACAGGCAGATAATCAACAACTTGACAGGCAGATAATCAACAACTTGACAGGCAGATAATCAACAACTTGACAGGCAGATAATCAACAACTTGACAGGCAGATAATCAACAACTTGACAGGCAGATAATCAACAACTTGACAGGCAGATAATCAACAACTTGACAGGCAGATAAACAACAACTTGACAGGCAGATAATCAACAACTTGACAGGCAAATAATCAACAACTTGACAGGCAGATAAACAACAACTTGACAGGCAGATAATCAACAACTTGACAGGCAGATAAACAAGAAATTACAAGAACAAAACAACTTACAACATTATTACAACAAATTATTACAACATAACAAAGGCAAAATTCCCGATACATGAAATTTTTAGCTTTTTGGGTTCGCAATTGCACTATTTTTTCCCCCGAAACTCTAGTCTTTTTTTTTAGGTCAAAACTGAGAGGCTGAGTTTCTTTTTTAGGCCTAAGGACACATGGTGAGGTGATCTGCAACATTGCTAAAATGTGAGTAAAGATGAATTGTACATGAATCTGAAGTCTCAAAGATGCATAATGTATAGTTAGAATTGTAATAGAGGAGACGAGAGCGAAGGAGGGAGAGAGGGAGGGAGGAGAAGGAGAGACAATGGAGGAGAGAAGGAGGGGAGGGAGGTGAGAAAAACAGCTGATACGTAGAGACGAGGGTGAGAGAACGTGACAGAAATACAAAGGTTCAGAGACAGTGATAAGAGAGAGAGACAGACATACAGAGACACACACACACACACACACACACACACACACACACACACACACACTTTCAAACACACACACACACACACAGATACTTTCAAACACACACACACACACAGACACAAACATACACACAAAGACACTTAAAAACACACACACACACTTACAAACACACGCACACAGACACTTACCAATCACACCAGTTGATTGACAGTTGAGAGGCGGGACCAAAGAGCCAGACCTCAACCCCCGCAAACACAACTAGGTGAGTACTTACCAACACACACATTTACAAACACACACACAGACACCAAAAACACACACACCCACAGACACTTTCAAACACACACATAGAGACAGACCCAAACACACACACACACACACATAGAGACAGACACACACACACACACACACAGACACTTACAAAAACACACACACACAGACACAAACTCACACACACACACACACATAGAGACAGACCCAAACACACACACACATAGAGACAGACCCAAACACACACACACACACACACACAGGTATACAGCTGTAAATACATGGACTTTAAAGAAGATTTTAACGAGGAACGAGCGACTGCACGTCATCTTATACACGAAAAGATTTACAAAGAATTCTAATTTTCTAGTGTCACGTAAGACTTCCCAACGAGGAAACGGACCATAAAAAAACTCTCCACTCCTACACAGTACAAAATACACCGCAATAACGTGACATATCATTGAACAAATTCACCATGGTCTTGACGGGGGCTCGAACCCATGAGCTGGGTGTTCCCACACGCGGTGTAGTCCACTGCACCACGAATAACGTCACAATATTCGAGGTTCATTAATCATATTAAACAATGGTCGTGAAAGCCGTCTGGAACGAGGCGTTTGTTCTCGCTTAAAATGGCGGAGAGTTTCTTTATTTTACAGTCAATAGGACTGTTTAGTGTGTCTGGGACTCGAACCCTGGAAACAGAAACCGTAACTGTCTCTATTTCCCGCTTGTTACAACTTGTAATAAAGTTGTTACATCTTGGCTTAACGTGTTTATGACGTATTAGAACGTTGTAACAACGTTCTAATACGTCATATTGGTTTGTTATAACTGGTTAGGAGGTGTTAAAACTTGTTCGAATGTTGTAGCAACGTCGTAGTTTCGGTGTGTGTTTGGCGGGTCTCCATCAAACCCCCCACCCCCACCCCCCACCTGCACACAGAACTCTCTTGGACAAATCCACAAGGGCCGTGACGAGGATTCGAACTTACGTCCCTTCCTCGTCACGGCCCTTGTGGATTTGTTCATTTGATGCATCAGGCTATTGTGATTTCTGTGTGTAAGAACTCTCTTGCTGGGGAGTAGGACTCCACGCCCATCTATAGGACTCACTATAGGACTCCAACACATCCACATACTCATAGGATTTTTTTTTTTTTTTTGAGATATATACAAGAGTTGTTACATTCTTGTACATATTTACATTCACAGGATTGGCTTCTGAGGAAAATGAATAACCTAAAAAAACAAAAAGGTCGGGCTCACCATAGCCCGTGCTACTTGGAACTTTTTGTTCTAAGTAGCGAATCTTAAACAACAACAACAAACCTAAAAATAAGGACATTTCATTGTTTCAACTCTCAATACGGTCTTATTTTTTATTGTTATCTATACGTACCAAATTTCTTATCGGCCTGACGGCTGAGTAGACAGCACTCGGGATTCGTAGTCCTAAGATTCCGGGTTCGATCCCCGGTCGACGCGGAAACAAATGAGCAGAGTTTCTTTCACCCTGACGCGCCTATTCACCTAGCAGTAAATAGGTATCTGGGAATTAGACAGCTGCTACGGGCTGCTTCCTGGGGGTGGAGGCCTGGTCGAGGACCGGGCCGCGGGGGACACTACACCACGAAATCATCTCAAGATAACCTCAAGATATACCAGAGTACAGTTCCAAACATCATTTGCATAAGTCTAAGCTTTGACAATTTATGCTCCTCCAAGTTCGCCTTCTTTTGATATTAAGACTTTTCTTCGGAATTAAAGATTTTTATCGTCAGTTCAATGTGGAAATATTGTCAAAGTTTTGGACATGTGTATTACATAGTGCTGACTGGGGACCCTAGAGTAAGGCATAGGCGTGGGGGCATAGACGTGGAGGCATAGGCGTGGGGGCATAGGCGTGGGTGAGGGGGCATAGGCGTGGGGGCATAGGCGTGGGGGAGGGGGCATAGGCGTGGGTGAGGGGGCATAGGCGTGGGGGCATAGGCGTGGGGGAGGGGGCATAGGCGTGGGTGAGGGGTCATAGGCGTGGGGGCATAGGCGTGGGGGAGGGGGCATAGGCGTGGGTGAGGGGTCATAGGCGTGGGGGCATAGGCGTGGGGAGGGGGCATAGGCGTGGGTGAGGGGGCATAGGCGTGGGGGCATAGGCGTGGGGGAGGGGGCATAGGCGTGGGTGAGGGGCATAGGCGTGGGGGCATAGGCGTGGGGGAGGGGGCATAGGCGTGGGTGAGGGGGCATAGGCGTGGGGGCATAGGCGTGGGGGAGGGGGCATAGGCGTGGGTGAGGGGTCATAGGCGTGGGGGCATAGGCGTGGGGCAAGAGGGCATAGGCGTGGGTGAGGGGGCATAGGCGTGGGTGAGGGGGGAATAGGCGTGGGTGAGGGGGGCATAGGCGTGGTGGCATAGGCGTGGGGGCATAGGCGTGGGGGAATAGGCGTGGGGGAGAATAGGCGTGTGTGAGGGGCATAGACGTGGGGGCATAGGGGTGGGTGAGGGGGCATAGGCGTGGGTGAGGGGGGGCATAAGCGTGGGTAAGGGGGCATAGGCGTGGGGGAACTGGGGTGGGTACACTTCACTTCGTTTCCGCCTCTCAACCAAGAAGGCCGGGTTCGATTCCCGGACGGGACAGAAATGTTTCGGACATGTTTCCTTATACCTAATACTCCTGGTTCAACTAGAGGTAAATAGGTACCCAAGAGTTAGTCACCTGTTGTAGAGTTCGATCCTGGGAAGGTTCAGTAGTTCCCACCTTTCTTGAGGTTATCTTGAGGTTATCTTGAGATGATTTCGGGGCTTTAGTGTCCCCGCGGCCCGGTCCTCGACCAGGCCTCCACCCCTAGGAAGCAGCCCGTGACAGCTGACTAACACCCAGGTACCTATTTTACTGCTAGGTAACAAGGGCATAGGGTGAAAGAAACTCTACCCATTGTTTCTCGCCGGCACCCGGGATCGAACCCGGGACCACAGGATGACAAGTCCAGCGTGCTGTCCTTTCGGCCGACCGACCTTGTTGGGGACCTTGATACAAGCCTACAGTATACATACACACAGGCTTCCAGTCCCCCGACAAAATTAATTAAAACTAATAAACATTACCCATATATATGCATATAAAGATAGACAAGATAGACTCTGCAAATATAATTTTATAAAGCAGTCAAACTGGTCAATATACATTAGCGAGATGGAAGACAAACTCTCTAGAAACATTTAATTACTCGTCAAAATAATGCGACGCCTTCATCACGACCCAACACAAACACTGCATAGAAACAAGCGTACGAGAAAAAACATTTTAATTACCTTTTAAAACTTGGGTCGGGTGGTCTGTTCTCTTCTTTACGGCTTGGAGACGTCGGGGTAGTGACAGCAAGATTATGTGGATGGTTAGGTGAGGTCGTGTCCAGTCTCTGGCCATACCCGAGTCCAATCCCAAGATTCACGTATGGCGGCTTCCAGCTTGGGAATGGAGGCGAAGTTTTTGCCTCCTCTTGACAATGAGCCAGAGGTTCTCAATTGAGATCCGGGGCTGTTGCGTGGCCAATTGAGATCCGGGCTGTTGCCTGGCCAATTGAGATCCGGGGCTGTTGCCTGGCCAATTGAGATCCGGGGCTGTTGCGTGGCCAATTGAGATCCGGGCTGTTGCGTGGCCAATTGAGATCCGGGCTGTTGCCTGGCCAATTGAGATCCGGGCTGTTGCCTGGCCAATTGAGATCCGGGCTGTTGCGTGGCCAATTGAGATCCGGGGCTGTTGTCTGTTTGAGATCCGGGGCTGTTGCCTGGCCAATTGAGATCCGGGGCTGTTGCCTGGCCAATTGAGATCCGGGCTGTTGCGTGGCCAATTGAGATCCGGGGCTGTTGTCTGTTTGAGATCCGGGGCTGTTGCCTGGCCAATTGAGATCCGGGGCTGTTGCCTGGCCAATTGAGATCCGGGCTGTTGCCTGGCCAAATGAGATCCGGGGCTGTTGCCTAGCCAAATGAGATCCGGGCTGTTGCCTGGCCAATTGAGATCCGGGCTGTTGCCTGGCCAATTGAGATCCGGGCTGTTGCCTGGCCAATTGAGATCCGGGGCTGTTGCCTGGCCAATTGAGATCCGGGCTGTTGCCTGGCCAAATGAGATCCGGGGCTGTTGCCTGGCCAAATGAGATCCGGGCTGTTGCCTGGCCAATTGAGATCCGGGGCTGTTGTTTGTTTGAGATCCGGGGCTGTTGCCTGTTTGAGATCCGGGCTGTTGCCTGGCCAATCTTTGAGCACCATGCGGTCATCAAGCCACTTGGTGAGAGATTTGGCGGTGTGAGCTGAGGCACACAGGCTTATTGGAGCAGCATGGCTTATGTGAGCTCCAAAGAATCCACCAAATAATCACAATGGAACTCCAAGAAAACTACCTGATTCACTTTTAAAGCTTCTTTAGGAAGCACAGCAAGCTTGCCTAAGCCCCTGCCTGGAGAAGCAACTCGGACACCATAGGTAAATAAGTCAGTAATTATGAAAAGAAGGCAGCAAGCCGCGAAGGCTATGAAGTACCATGACGAATCTTGGGTGTTTCTTGCCACAAGGTAAACTCGACCCCTCTCGCTTCCTCGTCACAGTATATATATTTTCTTGTTTTTTGAGATATATACAAGAGTTGTTACATTCTTGTACAGCCACCGGGAGCCGGTCGGCCGAGCGGACAGCAAGCTGGATTTGTGATCCTGTGGTCCTGGGGTCGATCCCAGGCGCCGGCGAGAAACAATGGGCAGAGTTTCTTTCACCCTATGCCCCTGTTACCTAGCAGTAAAATAGGTACCTGGGTGTTAGTCAGCTGTCACGGGCTGCTTCCTGGGGGTGGAGGCCTGGTCGAGGACCGGGCCGCGGGGACACTAAAAGCCCCGAAATCATCTCAAGATAACCTCAAGATCTCAAGATAACTAGTACGCGTAGCGTTTCGGGCAGGTCCCTGGAATACGATCCCCGCCGCGAAGAATCGTTGTTACAACCAAGTACACATTTTACTGTTGCGTTAAACAGAGGCTACAGTTAAGGATCTGCGCCCAGTAAATCCTCCCCGGCCAGGATACGAACCCATGACTAAGCGCTCGCGGAACGCCAGGCGAGTGTCTTACCACTGCACCACGGAGACTGGTATGCTTCATAATGCTGGTATGCTTCATAATGCTTCATTACACTATGACACTCATTACCCGGTTATTACCAGGCCTCGTAAGGTATTTCTGGGGTTCCTGGGCGCCTGTTAGGAGTGACTTTATGTGCTTTTTGAGGACTATGTTATACAGGATCCACGAACTCTTGGGTTCATTGAGATACTTATCAAAAACATTTTCGGATTGTTTTGCTTCATTTCTCTCTGCTGCAACACTGAAGGCACTCTCTCTGATGAACGTTTTAAAACGTTCACAGACCTTCAAGAGGTTTTCCTGGCACGATTGGGTCATGTTTTTGTCATGGCGTCCCATCATTTCCCTCACGAAATTTGCCACAATATTTCCGTACCTGGCCACCTCTATCACCTATCTGCTTCAAAGCAAAGACCTGAGCAATAGTTTCTCTGCTTAGAGCCTTCGTAGGTACCACACAACTAATTTAATACCACCAACAGAACAAATAACAGCGTAACACCCACTAATGTGGGAGAGCATGACGGAACACCCGCACACCATGACAGCCGCCGGGCTACTGACTGTTGTTGCTAGGTAACCCGCGGGCTGACATGACGTGACGTCACGTTCCCGCCGGATTTAAACTTAAATATTTCTCCCACAAAAACATTCTTTTTTTCCCGCCACAATAATATGATACCCAGGGCGCCGCATTATTTAGATAAGCACTGTAACTCTGTAAGCAGTTATTAGAGCCTATGACCTTAGCAAATAATCTAGGCCTACCCAACAATTTGCATTTCATTAAGAATTTCTGTAAATACGGATTTGTCCTGCAGTAGTGCATGCGATCAGATTCCCTTCCTGTGAGCAAGGAGAGCTGTGACCCTTGACTGTTTGTGTTTCTGTTCTCAAGGTCTGACTTCACTCACTTTCTATTCCTAATGAAATAAACCTAACCTAGCCTATCCAGCTATAATCTAGCCAAACCAGCTAACATAGCCAATCCAGCTAGCCTAATTAATCCAGCTAACGTAACCAATTCAGCTAATTTAGCCAGTCCAGCTAACCTAGCCAATCCAGCTAACCTAGCCAATCCACCTAACCTTGCGAATCCAGCTAACCTAACCAATCCAGATATTATCTAGCCAATCCAGCTAACCTAGCCAATCCAGCTAACCTAGCCAATCCAGCTAACCTAGCCAATCCAGCTAACCTAGCCAAACCAACTAACCTTGCCAATCCAGCTAACCTAACCAATCCAGCTAACCTAGCCAATCCAGCTAACCTAGCCAATCTAGCTAACCTAGCCAATCTAGCTAACCTAGCCAAACCAACTAACCTTGCCAATCCAGCTATAATCTAGCCAATCCAGCTAACCTAGCCAGTCCAGTTATTAACCTAACCAATCAACCTAGCCTAGATATAGAATCTATCCTAGCCTAACCAATGCATAACCATGAACAAATACACTTGAAACCATCCCAACTAAATTCACACATTGCATTATGTTAATATAGTTGCAAGCAACATCCCTGCAGATATCATATGAAATAGACAACAGATAGGCTTGCAATTGATGGGAAAAATATACGATGTTCAACTTTTTAGTTCATCCCAATAAGTGATGCAATCTGCAATGTTTATCTTTCAGGTTCACCCGTTCCATCAGTGGTCTGGTATGAAGGTGGGCGGATTCTTGACGCTCAAATGGATTCCAAATCTCTTGGAATCTCCAGCGATTCTTCCAAGGGGATTCGAGGAGGGCGGCACATGGGATCTGATCCCGCCACGGCGCTGCTGCCAACCTTCAGGGGAAAGATTTTGCGGTCATTTTCACTGCCAAATGTAAGAGGAGAGGCCTTTAGTGCTATGGGTTTGCTGTCAGATGTAAGAAAGGTTGACAGGAAGGTTAATCTTCCACGTACTGTAAAGCTAGCGGGCACAAGAAAGTCTCACAGTAAGATTTCGCGAGAAAGACTGGCCAAATTGTCAGGTTCAGTGGTGTTTCCTACGGCATCTACAGGGATCGTCTACAATACCTTGACTCTGGGACCTCTCAATCGCAGTCAACTCTTGATGGAGCTAACCTGTCAAGCTTCTAATAACAACGTCACTCTGCCAGTTAAAGCAACAATCACTCTAGACTTGAACTGTGAGTACTCGAGGAACTGTTTTAAGACTGAGTGTCATATCACGTTGAAGTTAAAATGAATATCCACGCTATTAATAAATAATACATGTATACGCGCACACACACACCCACACACACACACACACACACACACACACACACACACACACACACACACACACACACACACACACACACACACACACACACATACTAAACTGTCTCTCACAATACATTTGAACTTCCTGCATTTTGAATTTGAATTTGACAAGGATTCCCCCTTACAGTGAGTGGGACGACCACCTCAGGAAGCCCACACAAGCACCTCGAACTTAAACCCAGGAAATCCCTTGGGAAATCAATCATAACCTTCAGGCTTTTTGAAGAACTTCAGACTTCCATTTTTCAGTGTGACTTTTAAGGATGAAATTCATTGCTGACATAACGTGATTGCTTGCTCAACAGAACAGCTCAGCGCTGTTTTGTTAACAAAGTTTAATTTTAAATGGAAAACTAAACAGTATTGTTCAATTAATTCATAAATATAACACTGTTTTATCATATATATATATATATATAAATATATATATATATAATAATATATATATATATATATATATATATATCTATATATATATATATATATATATATATGTCGTACCTAGTAGCCAGAACACACTTCTCAGCCTACTATTCAAGGCCCGATTTGCCTAATAAGCCAAGTTTTCCTGAATTAATATATTTTCTATAATTTTTTTCTTATGAAATGATAAAGCAACTCTTTTCTCTATGTATGAGGTCAATTTTATTTTATTGGAGTTAAAATTAACGAAGATATATGACCGAACCTAACCAACCCTACCTAACCTAACCCTAGCCTATATTTATAGGTAAGGTTACGTTAGGTACCCTAAAAAGTTAGGTTAGGTTAGGTTAGGTAGGTTAGGTAGCCAAAAAAACACTAATTCATGAAAAGTTGGCTTATTAGGCAAATCTGGCCATGAATAGTAGACTGAGAAGTGCGTTCTGGCTACTAGGTACGACATATATAATATATATATATATATATATATATATATATATATATATATGTCGTACCTAGTAGCCAGAACTCACTTTTTGGCCTACTATTCAAGGCCCGATTTGCCTAATAAGCCAAGTTTTCCTGAATTAATATATTTTTTCTAATTTTTTTCTTATGAAATGATAAAGCTACCCATTCATTATGTATGAGGTCAATTTTTTTTATTGGAGTTAAAATTAACGTAGATATATGACCGAACCTAACCAACCCTACCTAACCTAACCTAACCTAACCTATCTTTATAGGTTAGGTTTGGTTAGGTAGCCGAAAAAGTTAGGTTAGGTTAGGTTAGGTAGGTTAGGTAGTCGAAAAACAATTAATTCATGAAACTTGGCTTATTAGGCAAATCGGGCCTTGCATAGTAGGCTGAGAAGTGCGTTCTGGCTACTAGGTACGACATATATATATATATATATATATATATATATATATATATATATATATATATATATATATATATATATATATATATATATATATGTCGTACTAGTAGCCAGAATGCACTTCTCGGCCTACTATGCAGGGCCCGATTTGCCTAATAAGCCAAGTTTTCCTGAATTAATATATTTTATCTAATTTTTTTCTTATGAAATGATAAAGCTACCCATTTCATTACGTATGAGGTCAATTTTTCTTTATTGGAGTTAAAATTAACGTAGATATATGACCGAACCTAACCAACCCTACCTAACCTAACCTAACCTAACCTATCTTTATAGGTTAGGTTATGATAGGTAGCCGAAAAAGTTAGGTTAGGTTAGGTTAGTGGGTTAGGTAGTCGAAGAACTATTATTCATGAAAACTTGGCTTATTAGGCAAATCGGGCCTTGCATAGTAGGCTGAGAAGTGCGTTCTGGCTACTAGGTACGACATATATATATATATATATATATATGACAATGTCAGACCACGGAGGAAAAAATGAAACAGGAAATTTCCTTAATGAACTCGTGGGATGAATTTCATCCGGTAAAGCGAATGATTAGAGGCCTTGGGGACGAAACGTCCTCAACCTATTCTCAAACTTTAAATGGGTGAGATGCCGAGCTTGCTTGAACGCTGAAGCTTCGGCGACTAATCTGAGTATCTAGTGGGCCATTTTTGGTAAGCAGAACTGGCGCTGTGGGAAGAACCAAACGTCGAATTAAGGGGCCTAAATGAATGCTTATTAGCTAAATGAATGCTAAATGAATGCTTGACCTTCTGAAGATGTATTTAATATACGAAAGTACTTAAGGAAATTTCCTGTTTCATTTTTCCT